CTGAAGTACATTGCTAGCCAAAGCTTCGTCAGTGTGAAGGCAGACACTAGTAACACGCTGAAGCACATTGCTATCCAAAGCTTCCTCAGTTTGAAGGCAGACACTAGTAACACGCTGAAGTACATTGCTAGCCAAAGCTTCCTCAGTGTGAAGGCAGACACTAGTAACACGCTGAAGCACATTGCTAGCCAAAGCTTCGTCAGTGTGAAGGCAGACACTAGTAACACGCTGAAGCACATTGCTAGCCAAAGCTTCGTCAGTGTGAAGGCAGACACTAGTAACACGCTGAAGCACATTGCTCCGGCCTGGACAGAGCTGACAGACACACGCCGGACACAGAGGGAAACGGAGCGAGACCTCCGGCCTACTTTGGTGGGCTCCATGCTCTTCTTCCTGTACGCCGCCAGCTGGTTCTTCAGATCTCTGATCTCCGCCTCCAGCAGACAGATGACCTCCTCGTAGTCCTGCTCTGCCCCGCGGGTCCGCTGCTGTGCCGCCTCCGCCTCCTGCAGCCTGCTCCTCAGCTCCCGGTTCTCTGCCAGTGTGGCCTCAGCCCTCTGGGACATCACGTTGGCCTGTGTCAAACCTGGCCTACACTTTTGCTCAGGCCGGCCTGCGTGGGCTGTAGCTATAGACGTTCTCTCTATACAAAGGTGGGCTCATGTTAAGGGCCCTAAACCACAATCCCTTCCTCATGGACACCATCCTATCAGCAAGTCCATCAGTCCCAAAAAGCTCATTTAAACACAAGCTGTTATTAGGTCTTTCAACTGATTCGCCTCTCTGTATAGTCCAGAGTACTTAAGCATGTGAGTGTGTGCGCTTGTGCTGTTGGATCCCTGCCTGAGATAGTCTCCAGGCTCTCACAGCCCTGACCAGGATCAGAAGCTAGGTGGATCGACAGATGTTATCAGTACTACCAGTACTGTACCATTACTATAGCTTACGAGGTCAGAGTGATATGCAGACAGTCGTACTGGAGCTTAAATTCCCACCTATTTATAGAGCTGGAGTGATTTTGCTTTTGATTGAGGTTAAGTGCCTGGATGAATGGTACTGAGCTCCTGGGTGCTCAGCCAGTGACCTACAAAGAACCGGTCAGCGCCCCTAACCACTGCGCCAGCTGTTACACGAGTTGACCGAGGAGATCACGGCATGAGTAGAAGAAGAATTATAGAAATTTGGCGGACGGTGGTCGGGAAGTGGAATCTGAACTGGACCACTGCCAAAGCTTATAGCTTGTTGGGTTTGCGGCTCGATTAGGAAAAAGGTTAAAAACGCAATGCTAAGCCCAGTAAATGGCAGCGTGTGGCTGCTGTCTGTCACTCGTCAGCTAGTAATGAAAGCTGTAGGTCTGCGTGTCCGGCAATCCGTCACTTCCAGCAACAGGACAGACTCGCTGTAATGTGCGGAGGCCTTGGGGACACTAAAGGCAGGGATGGTGATGGCAGAGCCGGGCCTGTTAGTGCACAAAAGCAGACAGAACGCCGACTGGACGCCCGCTACCTCTGCGCTCCTCTGCAGCTCTTCCTCGAGGGTCATCTTGCTGTTTTCCATGTCTTTCAGTAGCGTCTGGAGAAATGAGACAATCAGCTTGTCACGCTTGCGCGTGAAAAGAAGACCCTTGAGCAGCTTGGTGCGTGCCACTTTGAACTGTAATGAAGCTGTAACAGCAAGAGTAAAGACACCGATTGGTCAATTCAAAGCCTGTCTTACTTTGACAACTAGACCTTGTTAGATTTGGTTCCTCTGCTCAAGGAGGCTTGGAGGAGCAATGACATCCTGACAATGCAGCAGGCAGCTGGATTTCTCTCCCTCTGACCCTCATTCACCTCAGAGCAAAGAGCCCCCTGTGCTGAGGTCATCGTGCCGCTCCGTGAAGCCCACAGAACAGGCATGGTGCAAAAAACGTGAGCGGCTGGTGCCTCACGAGTCCAGCGGGGGTGTCTGCTAGTCCTCACCCCTCCCGAGTGAGTGTAGATGTGTTCATGGGGGAGCCCTGCTTGCGCTAGTGGACCATTCCAGAATGTACTGGATGTATCCATACAGACATATTTACAGACGGAATCAAAATATGCTTGAGACTTGTGTAATAGGGCAAAAAGCAAGCAAAACGACAGGTTCCCATCAAACCTTTAACTGCCTCGTCTTCTCCTGCATGTGGGAAATGTCCGTCTCAAATGGCTCAATCCCCTCATTCCTGTAGCTGTGTCCCAGCTCATAACTCTGTATGATCAAGGCAAGGAAATTAATATTAATACTTACGTCCTCGCTTAAAAGGGACTGGTATAAAATTGCCCGTGTATATGAGATTACTAGCTTTTGCGCATTGTTCTGAAAGGATAAATTGAAACACAATGTGTGCACAAGCAGCTGAAAATCGAAGCACTTAGAAGCACAACTTTGATAATTTCCTTGAACGTTTTTTTTGCATCTAAAACCTCTTTGCCGTAAGGAAACATCACAAAAAAATGAAAAATCTGCTGTTTGCAGACTGTTGAAAAAGTGTTGCATAAATATACAGTTCAAACTCAAAATCTTCAGTTGAATTTTTTTTGTCAAGAACCTTCTGGGGGAATCTTACCGGAGAGTGGAAGGCAGAGGTGTCCACCAAACTGGCCGCTTCGTGGTAGGAGAACATAAAGGGTCCTTGGGCCAGGCCTGCTTCCTCTAGCTTGTTTTGAAAGATGTCTCGCACTGCTTCTACGAAATCTGTCCCACAGACATAAAGACACCTCAGAAAGCACACCTCAGGCTAGGTCACTAGGACTGCAAAAGGATGGACAGATACAGTTAGAGAAGAACTATTGGACAAGCCAACAAAATGCTCCTCAGAAATTTGATTGGAGAACCAGGATAGCCTAGCCCTTACAGCATTGAGCCATCCAGGGAAAAAAAAGTGCTGGGCACGAGTTTTGCGTGACAAACCATGACAATCGTTAAAAAATAATTTTGCTCTCCATTCTGTCATCATTCAGTCAGCAAAAGCCTCGGAAAGAATGTTTCACACTGAGCTATTTTAAGCTCTCTCCTAAGAGGAAAAAGTTTTTATTTATATTTTAAACAAGCATTAAACAATGGAGGCTCAAGTACACTAGACATGGGAAAAAGTCCAAACACACATCGTCCTTTGGGTGAACGCCAGCATCTGACTGAACTTGTACTTGCAATGGAAAAATGGTTCGAGCTCATTCGGTCATGTTCCTGCTCAACAAAGTCATGAAAAAATGGCATGTGAAATACTGCATAATTCTGGAATCTTCCTCACATAGTATTCAATTCTGTATGACCCCTGTTGCCTTATATACCTGAACATTCAAGCACAAAAGCAGGTTGGCTTGTTTATCTTAGTAGATATGATTTGATGTAGTTGATTGAGCAATACCTTCAAGCAGAGTTACAGTTTAGTGAGATAATGTGTAATTGGGGAACACAGCTGTGAAAAAACCTCGTCAGTTGTTTTCTCAGTTGTGACCCATGCCACCCCCAGGCCTCGTTGACGTACTCGTGGCACTCAGAAAATCCGGCACTTTGGTGATGTGATGCTGATCTCACCTCCATAGGCCACACTGCCTTGAGAATCAGTGGTCAAAATGTTCATCAACTTCCTCTTATCCTCTTCTGTAACCTCCAATCCCAAGTATGTAAGAGCCTGAGAGAATGAACATGGAGCAACAGAAAAGTCAACTGAACATCTCTCTAATCTCTCTGGAAAACTCCATCAACAGCAGTACAGAAGAAGAGGGTGAAGCAGGAGACACTGGGAATGAACAAAAACCAGGCAGGTAGAGGGCAGAATCAACTTCCTAATGCCAGAGAGGGCCGTCAACTTATCTGCCAGTGACTCATACATCAGAGTATAACCTCTAGTGACCTCCAAAAAGAATGGGAAACATTAAGTGGTGTGAAGTGCACTGCTAGTACAATTCATAACAGGCTCTTAGAAGCAGGACTGAAGACTCATAAAGCAAGGAAGAAGCCCTTCATTAATGAGAAGCAGGGAAGAGCCAGGCTGGAGTTTGCAAAAAAAATATATTTTACACAGGCATATACCCATAAATTGAGAAATAAGTGAAACTGAAAATTTTGCAGTGGTCTCTTAATTTGTGTAAATAAAAGCATGCAAGTCAGTATCTTAAGCAGCAGCAAGCTGTTGAACATTAACCCAATGGTGTCATCTGGCATTAAGTGACATCAAGTAACAAAATAATCCCTGACATTCAAAACTGCTTATTGAAGTAACGGCGGACAGTGGTGGGAGGTTCTTTTATCTCTTGCATGAATGTTATAATGATTGCCGCCAGGATAAAAGGCCGCTGACTCACCAGGTCCAGTTTCTGTGACCTTAGGCGGATGTTCGGGTCCAGGGCGATCTTCGGTTTGGCAGTCGTGGCTGTTCTCAGTGAGCTGGTGGGAGGAGCTGGACAAAGGGAGCCGGGACAGACACGACACTCGTCTCTCCAAGCATCAGCCGCCTTTGTGCCGAACTGCCACCAATCAAAACTCAACACATTCAAGGCAAGACGAGAAAGGCGAATAACAGTTTAATGTACCAAAATAAACTGCCAATATTTCTAGCCTATTCAGATTCTTGGCTTCCGGTAAAACTTGAATCTTTAGGTAAAGCTGTAATCCTTGTCGGCAATATAAGACTGTTTTTAAAGACCTGGGGATCTGCTTAAGTTTGCTAAAGCTTGCAGAGGCTGTCAAATTCGCTCCCTCGGTTCAAGACAAGGTGTCCCCAGCTGTGACAGTGTTGTCACGACACCCCTGATTGACGGGCTACAGCAAGGGGAGAGGAGCAGCCAGCCGTGAAGCGCTGCCACACCACACCGACTCACTAATCCTCGCCGCCACCCGGCTGCGATACAGTTGGCAGGTCTGATGCGGATAGAGAAGGTGGCACAGGGATTCAGACCCTAACCTCCCAGTCACTGAATACAAAAAGAAACAGACTAATGGGAGCAAGCAAAGATCTTCATTAGAATTCGAATCCGGTGCCTAGTGTATCATGATACCACATTTCACATTTTCAGCATTTTGGAGCAGAAGTTGGAATGAGTGACACAGGGTTTCTCCAGAGCCTATGAGGGAGAAAGTGCCACTCTGCTGACAGCAGTGCCCTTTAAAGCTGTTCCTTGTCCTCTCCTGTTTAATGGTCCCTCCAACTGTAAATCTGCCTTCCCAGATAGATATTCTCTTCCAAACATTCCCTAGTGCCAACCTCCATGCACCCACTCATAGATGTTATTGTCCCACAGCATTGCAGGGATCAGGCTGAAATTCTGGAGCTCTGGGGCACTTACAGACAAAATATCTGGACATAGTCATAGTTCAGAACTTATTCCAGCCTCGGTCTACCAGATACCATATCAAAGGTATACAGCCTCTCCCTGGCTTACGAAGAGGATGTGTTCCAATAAACCTACCGTAAGGCGAAAATAATGTAATGCAAAAATGCATTTTAATACAGTACACCTAACCTAACAAACATCATAGCCCAACTTAGCCTCCTGAAATGTGCTTAGGACACTTACATTAGCCTACAGTTGGGTAAAACCATTAACACAAAGCCTATTTTATAATAAAGTATTGAATATTTCATTCAATTAATTGAACAATGTACTGATAGTGAAAAACATTTACCCATTGTAAAGTTGAAATATTGTAACACAGACAATCATAACCTGGGGATTATCTGTATAGGCATATGATGAATATGCATAATCACTAGTGAACTAGGGTCTAATTCAACATAGAACAGGGCACCCTTATGAGGTACAATGATTACTGAATGATGAAAGGAGATGTATATCAGTATTCCATGTGTCAGATCGCAGTAGTTTTCAGGAACAGGGTCAACTGGCAGAGCGATTGGTGTGTACACTGTACTGTGTGGGCTATGGACTAAAACACAAGATGGCAGTAGTGATGTGGATGAGGACCTGTCAGTTGGATCTGCTGGACCACAATTGGTGAATGACTGGCTAATCCTGGATGAAGAATTTCAGATGCATTTATTTTAATTGCATGCCCCCTTTTGCACTTATTGGTGATACTAAAAGGTTTATCTGGTGAGCAGGACATTTATAGCTATATGAAAATGCTAGTCCAGGCATCACACCATAACATAATAGTAGGACACTTAGGAGAAGGTGAAACACTACAACAAATCATAGCCGTATTATATTAACCTGTCATTGCTGAAGATATTCGTAAGTGGTGTGTCAGCTTGGGGGAATGGCAGTTAGTGAATCCAGCAGCTAGCTAATGCACTGGAATGAAAGTGGATTATAGTATTGTGGAGTCTCTGGTTCACTTTTCATCGAAGGTCAGAATCCAGGAAGACACTCTGAATATGCAAAAGAATTGAACTGGTTCCGGTTGCCTGCGGCGCCGAGCTAACTCCAGAGTAACTACTACAGATCACAGCAACTCAGTGGAAGTACTTGGATATTTTTTCCTGTACCCAATTGAACTGATGTCATAAAACATAACATACACATCCCATGGGGCATGGTGGTTAGGTTAAGGAACGAAAATTAGTTTGGGACACATTACGAAGTAGCTACACAGTTGTGATTGAAGAGTAGCACAGTGAGTGGAACAAACTCATAGTTTGGGTCCCAAACCTCATTGCTCTCTTCATTACTGTGTCAACCAAGGCGTCAAAGCGTAATGTGAATTCATGGTACCGTATTGAAAAGTTGCAAATTAGCTATATCCTCCTGAGACCCCACCCATTCATTTATATCCATTGTAGTGGACATTTTGTTTTTGCATCTATCTTTTCACTCATGTAAGGAAACATATTTATTCCTGTTTTACACTAAGGAGGACATGCTGTGAAATTAAAAATAAAAATAAATTTGAAAAAATGTAAATTGTTAGTTGTCTTATTTCCTCCAAAGACAAATAACCTAAAATTGAAGGGCACTTTTTTCCTCGGGTCTCAGGAGGATATGTCATTTTTACTCAACACTGGGCCTTATCGTTCTCTGCTGTGTTTGCTTTGCCCTCTTCCATTCGGTCTGCATGAGTGGCTCCTGGACCGTGTGCTGCCCATGCATGCCTCTTACAGTACATCATTCTATATATGTACCCCATCTTTGTTTATAGCGATGACTAGCCTCATGGTTTCCATTGAAGGAGAGTTTCAGGGCTTCAACTGGGAGAGAAGTTTGCTTCTTGGTCTGCGAGTTATATTTATATATATATATAAATTTTTTGTTTTTTGTTTGTTTTATATATATATATATATTCTTATTATTTTTATTTTATTCAAATATCAAGATCTTTAACAACACGGAAAGGAACACTGGTTACACTGCTATGAGGAGATGAAGGGATTCGTTTTCTCTAGGTTCCATTCCACAGAAACGTCATCGGAATCCTTCAGGCCTGTGGTTATTTTAATCTAAATTCAACACTGGCTCACATGTGAGCCACTTTCGATTTTCCTGCAACTCTGATGCAGCTTTCATTTGGGTTCCTGAAAGGAGAAACCTTTGAACTCAAAACCAGTGCAGAAAAGTAATAAAATATTAAATACCATAAATATACTTTTTTCTGCATTTTGAAGAGGACTTCAGAAGGGAAGTGCATCAAGATACCAGGGAGGACCTGACTGAGAGGTGTGGGACTGAGAGGATTATGAAAAGATCTGCGGATGAACGTGAGAAGGATGAGACTCGTGAATCAAGTGGCTGTATCACATCTATAGGTACTGATCTAATGTGAGATTAACAAGAGCCTGTGCCAGAAAACGGGGAACAGTGGATGCAGCAGCGAACATATGAAAAACTCTTATTTTTTGGTAAGTCCCATGGCACTCTATTTTGTAACTGTATACGTGTTATATATTTATAACATTTATAACAGAGAAGGGCTGGTCATCAAGTTTAAACTCCATAATTTTCCAGGTAACATCTTTCGATTTTGCACTGTCTGCACTGAATTTTCATTTGCTATCAAACGCTTGTGTTACTCATGGACTGGCGTCACAAAATGGCAACACTGCAGCCATTTTCATTAGAACAGATTTGTTTTCCACATACTCTTCACTGTCTCGCCGTAAGGTGAGCGATCAACTTCGTGGTGTTGAAATGTCGTATTAGTGGATCCTCCTTGTGAAATTTCAGCAGAGCAATGTTCGCAAAATGCATTTCTAACTTCACTAAGATAATTCCACACAGCAGATGTTTTTTGAAACTGTTTAGTACGCGGGGTGTTCTACGCGATATGGGTCACCATTTTAAAGGGAATTATCGGCGGTAAATATTGGCTGATTTTTAAGCATCGCCCCACAGCCGATTATTGCTGTATCGGCTGATACCGAAAGTTACCGAAACAATCGGTACATCTCTACGAAATTTACCTAGGAGGACCAACCCCCCCAGGAGACGTTGAGGTGTGAGTATGAGCATTGGCCAGGCGAGGCGGCCTACCTGGCACGTGTGCGTCAGAGGTGGGCTCCACGGGGGCTCTCTGGCAAACAGACACCAGCATTACATGCCATAGAATCACTCACTGCAGGTCCACAACACAGCTAGGAACCTCACGTCCAGGCGGAAATGTCATGACAGCGACAAGTGCGTTCTGTACATTTTCCATAAAGTCACTTGCATCATTCCTATAGGACAGGGTTCCCCAATTCCGGTCCTGGAGGCCAGAATCCAACACAGTTTGCAGATTTCCTGCTCAAACTCATCTTAATCAGCTAATCACCAGGTTCACTAAGGGAGTTTGAGTAGAGAAATCTGCAGACTGTGTTGGATTCTGACCCTCCACCACTGGTACTGGAGAACCCTGCATTAGGATATATGACAGGCCCTGCATAAGGGCCTCACCTGGGATTTCCAGATCTGTCCACAACCACTACCATAGTTACTAATATATCAACGTTTTAGCTTGAAAATGTGTGCTTATTCAAAAAGACTTCAGAGTGAAGTTTAGCCTTGCCGCACTATAAATGAAAGGGCTAAATTTTAGCATACTCACCTCCGGAGATCTTCCACGGACCTTCATCCGATAGGAGCTGCATCCATTCCCTACACCCTTCTGCACTCCGTTTTGTACACCAGTGCCGCTGGACACTAGACCTTTCCCTGGAATGAAGGCGATGTCCACAAAAGTGTCTTGGCTTTGGGGACAAAGAGAGAACAGTCAAATCTCGCTATTGTTATTTTTTCAATGCAACAATTAAAAAGTGCAGCACTTCATATGCTTGCATGGGACCCCACGGCCCTTGTCTCTCAGCACACGCACCTGAATTTGGCCTTGTTGATGATGCCTCTAGCCTCTTCGTGCGTAACCCCTATTAGCGACTCCTTGTTGATGGCGATTAGCTGATCTCCTGGTTTCAGTCGTCCATCCTACGGGGGACACAAGGCCCACAGACACACAATTCCACACCACACATGTGCTCTATACCAAAATCACTTAGCTTAGACCAGGGGTCTCCAACTCCGGTCCTGGAGAGCTACTATCCAGTAGGTTTTCTGTCCCACTTGGCTTCTGATGAGCCACACCTGCTCCTGGTATTTACCTGAGAACAGGTGTGGCTCATCAGAAGCCGGGTATGATAGAAAACCTACTGGACGGTAGCTCTCCAGGACCGGATTTGGAGACCCCTAGCTTAGACTGACCACTAGGGATACACAAGATCCATCTTCTCACCCATGTCAAGGTCACAGGGTGAGGTGTACCATAGGCGGGATGCCAGACAATCAAAAGACACACAAATACATTTTAAGCAATCCAGAGATACCAATTAGATTAACTGCACCTTTATACTGTGGGGGGACACCAGAGCACCTGAAGGAGACAAGCATGACTCAGGGAGATCATGCAAACTCCACACACACAGAGTAGATGTGAGGTGAGATTTAAAACCCCATCCATTGAGGTATGAAGCTACAATGTGTCCTCTCTGCTTCCATGCTGCCTTATATGCAACATCCACACTTTCTAATTATGCTGACAGTGTTTGTGCATTGAGACGATCTAGTGCTTCATGGGAAGATTTAAGACGATCCTATTCTTTGGTGGCATAGGTAAATAAATGAAGCTTGAAGCTGTATGAAATTGTCATGAGATCCAAAATTAATCACTGCAAAAAAAAAAACCATGCTAAACGTTCAAAGCTGAACGGTTGGACCATTCCAGTCCCTTTTTGGTAGGCTTTGTGTAACACGCCCCTTAAGTAAACCATTCCTTCAGTTTTTTTTAAGAAGATTAAGAAGATTGTTGCTGTACAGGTTGTTGTTTGTAGGTATTTTTAGCTGACACTGACAAATCAGTCACACAGGTAGTCTCCACAAATAAAATATGTTTCCAGGATTCCAGAGTTGTAAGAATTCAGGACACATCTGTTTGAGTGGTGGTGACAAGCAGAAAAGCTCCCATTTATTTGAAAATCCGTTCGCCATTTCAACACAGTGCAGCAAAGCAAGAGGCTGTAAACAAGCTGTTAAACTACGCAACAAATCAGTTCACAGCCAAAGCTTTGGTATAACCCATGGGGAGAGAGATTTCATAGCGTCTAGAAAGGTCACATTTCTCACGCCTCTCAACGCCCACTCACCCTGTAATTCATCCGAGGAGTAATATGGCAACAATAACCCATTTGGATACGGGCTAAAGCAGCCGTATGTGCTTGGGTAATCCAGAGATGCCAATGAGATTAACTGCATGCTTTTATACTGTGTGGGGACGTATAATGAAACTGACGGAATCAACACTGTTTTAGCAATACCAGAGGCGTCGTGCAAACTAAATTTGTGGGTGGGCACTGTTTCAATACCGTGCATATTAAAAAAAAACACATATGCAGATACTAATGTTCTTGAAACTTTATGCAGCTATTCACATGCAAACACATCCAGCCAACCTTATTAACTGCAGCTGAGATGTGAGTCATGATAGTTTGTTGATGATGTGTAGAGTTACTGGTGGAAAACAAAGAATGATGTGGGATGGGGGAGAGGATAAAGAGATGTTATCTGATGGAGGAAGCTCGCTCACTGGGCAGGTTACCCTGACTGAGTTTACGACAAGTTTAACGACATGTTATTCTTGGTCAAAGTAGGAACATTATTGTTGACTGAATAATTAATTTATGTTACACGTCGACAAAATGCGTAAACACATACCTACCTAAATTGACTGGCACAACGCCAATGAGCATTACGACACTGTATGAACCATAATCACTGGAGCACCACCTGTGCAGGGTCCCGGAGGCAAACGTTTTCATTGGTTCCGACGCCACCCCTCGTCCATGATTGGCTGACTGGTATATTATGCCACAGGGTTGTTCAGCAGGACTAATTATGCAGTTTCTGGGAAGCTTATATTGTCTATGTGCGCATCTTTAAATAGTGTAAATGATGTGTATTCCTGTATTTTTGTTGGTAGTAAATGTCATGGAATGCGTATATTTCGTTAGCGTGTAACCGTGACTGCCATTTAAATTGTTGGCTTCCCTGTCTGTGCCGCTGGTAGTATTAAACAAAGAGTAGCTGTTAATAAAGAGAGTAACTTCCATTCCAAAAGAGCTGTCATCTCCCTTATTAAAACAACTCATGCACTCCCCACAATAGGTTTATTTGTGCTCTGGATGTGGGTCTGCTGCAATGAAAACACACGGTGCCCCTCAGGGCTGTGGCGTGACAAAGAATGAGCCAGCAGGCAGCGTCGTTTTAAGTACGTGACAGATTGTCCTCGGCTACGTTTTCGATTTAGTTTTGTCCGGACATGTTTGAAGGATACGGCTACTTTAATGTTCCGACCTTTTAGAGAAACTGATGAAGACAGAATATCTGGTTAACAGCGGCTTAACCAGGAGGCTGAAACGCCAAAATGGCGTGGCGATGGGTCAATGTTTCAATACAGAATTACACTTTAGTCCTGTTTAATTTGCACAAGCCAATGTTTATGACAGGAGCACAACATGCTACCAAAAGCCAGACCTGAAACACACAGCAGTCAGTGTGTGACGGCAGAGAGAAGGTCACCCACTACGGTCCACGGTGCTGGGTCTAGCCTGTATGGTGCCCTGGACGAACCCCCCCTTCAGCATCCTGACCTCCCCCTGCCCCCCACCAATAAAAAAACACCATCCATCACGGTTATTTTTATTAAGACATTTGGAACAATACAAATAAATAATGAAAAAAGAAATAAAACTAAGTCTATATAAATATTAAAATAGGCACAAATGAGATTAAAAATATCAATATGAAGTAACAGAGACAAACAGAATCAAATAGGAGACTTTGCTCTTCTTTCTAAACAGGCACCTGATGGCTTAGACTTTTCTGTTCCATGTGTGCTAATTTAGCAGTCGAGCATCAATACCCATCCCCTAACACAGTCAACCAAGAGCCAAAACCAAATCAATTCCCTTCGGTAGCTTGCAGACCTGCTTTATATTATTCTTAATGATTTGTCATCTCATACCCCTGGGTGGAAGCCTGCCTAGCTCACAAACTAGAATCAGGGCGCCCACTTCAACAAGATTTATTGACCGACACAGTGACATGAGATCATTGACATGATGTGCAAATGAACGAAACAAAACCGATTGTGCAAATGTCACCGGAGCGATTTTTTTTTTGTGTGTGTGAGGACCCCGTGTCACTCCCAGCAAGACGCCCGCCGCGTGCGCCTGCCCATGTTGCCCGTACCTAAATCCGCCAGTGACACCAGTGCCAATCCGCCAGTGACACTCAGCCCAGGAGGCAGAAGCTCTCCTCAGTGCAAACAGCAGAGATCGAACCTGAACTCCCCAATCCCATCGAGTCGGTCCTCCTCCCCCCTGAAGATATTAACAGCCGGATGTTTGCTGTCTGTCTCAATCCTCAACGGGGGACACTGTCGTGAAACTGCCACAAAGGCAATCTTCTTTCCAGGATGTGTAATTAGACACTGAGAACAGATATTCACTTTACACGCCTCCTGCTTCCTTTTCAGTGCGTATAATCTATGTAGGTCATCAATCAGCACTGACTTTAGGTTATTTTTAAAATTTCCCTCTTCTGTTTGACTGTTTGGCCGAAAGATTGGCCAGGTCATCGTGATGACGCTATAATATGACGAGGCTGTCCGTTCCTCACACATTATCAGCTCTGTGTACTCTGTTTTAGTACAGAGGGGAGTTTGGCCACCCATGGTGGCCTAAATGGGCATCACATTGCCTGACCCAAAATGGAGTTTGTGAGCAAAGGTCGCCCCCTGCTGGACCTCGCTCACCCTATGGCAGTCACTCCCGGCCAGCACGTCCTGGATGAAGACGGCCGGCCCGTCGGGTCTGTTGGAACCTCCGCTGATGGAGATGCCCAGGCTGCAGGAGCGAGTCACGCTGATCAGCTGGATGAGACCATCTCCCGGGAGACTGAAGCAGAAAGGATCCATCGTCAGCATACCTCTGACAGAGGAGCTCCAGATGTTTAGCCAGTGAGTAGGAATTCTACTGTTGAACATTCTAGAAAAAGTGTGTTTCTTTAATGAAAGCATCAAGCCATGTCAAGTTTATTTGAATAGCACATTTAAAAATGGTTCATTCAAAGCGCAATACAAAAAAAGAATTAAAACTAACAAGACATACTAAAGCATTAAAACAAACCAACTTCTATTTACCAAAATAAAAGACATTTAGAATATTATTTTGAAGTGAAATGCATAATAAATGGGCAAATTAAATTTATAATAATCATGAAAAGAAATGAACAACGATTAAAACCTACTAGAACTATTAAAACATACTAGAAACTAAAACATCAAACAAACACTAAGCCAAGCTATATACGTGGGTAAAGCTACTTTTGAATAACAATAATAATAACTGCAGCCACAATTATGTGTTTCTCTAGCAAAAGAAATAAAAGCCATTCATCTTCCAAGCCCTTATTCTAGGGAGGACTGGGGAGAGGAAATGAAGTGCAATGCATTCCAACATTTAAAATATAATTTTCAGCAAGTTCTAAGTTTAGGTCTTACAGCTTTGGAGGTTTATGTTGTAAAATCAAAATTCTGTGCATAAGCAAATCCTTTTCAGCAAGTTTGACTTTCTGACTGCTGAAAAGAACACATGACCCTCAGTGACAGAGCTAAAGCGAAGCTGCAGTCAGTCCAATGATTTCTGTGATAGTCGTTAATGTCCCATGAGTCATAGACTGTGTTTGGAATGCCCACTCACTCACTCACTCGCCCACTCACTCACTCGCCGACTCACTCACTCACTCACTCGCCCACTCACTCACTCACTCACTCGCCCACTCACTCACTCACTCACTCACTCGCTCACTCGCCCACTCACTCACTCACTCACTTGCCCACTCACACTATAGTGTTCACTACGTACAACACCCGCTAGGGGACAAGGGCAGACAGCGGTTGATACATTTCAGACACTAAGAAGATTTTATGCTGCTACATAATTACATGCCGGATATTCATAAGTGTGCGTGTAAACAAACTTCATAACATGGACACCAACGTTGGTATTTTTGGATAAGTAAACATAGTAATTGACATATGTCTGTACAACGTTGAAATAAAAATAAAACAAAACTTTACAACACAAATCTGTGCACACATAACTTTATTTACAACATACTTGGCTGCGCTGTATCCACCTACGCAAGCTTGAAGGGGCCTGCAGCTGTAACTATAGCATTTTATACTAATCTTCAATATACTGTATTAATTGTGAACGTTACCCATGTAAAATAGTCAAATACATCAAAATAACTTTCTATTTTTAAACCAGCAGCTGTAGCTCACATGCAAGTATTTCATAAGCCAGCTACTGAACAATGGCTAACAGTTACAGTTCAGACTGAACAAAGTTTCTTAAATTTGGTTCCAACACGCACGTGACAGGCTGCAATGAATGATGGTCAAAGTCAACCGATGTAGGGTACGGCTCACGCTGAATATGTAGTGCACTATATAGTGGCTGAAATTTACGGCTGAGTATTCGAACAGCATTACAAAATGGCCGACTGTATAGTGCAATAAATAGTGGGCGAGTGAGAAACACAGCCATAGTTATTTGTGCAAACCCGGGTAAGACGAGAGGCTGGAAGGGCTGGTACTCAGACGTACCTTATAGGTCGCATTAGGGGTCCAGTCCCACTGTAGGCACATTGAGATCCAGCCGGACTCAGCAGCAGGGGGCTCTGTGACCGTGACGAAGACCCAGACGATGTGCTGTCCACATACTTGCCTGTTTCATAGGAATGAAACATTAGCCTTCTGGATGCAGAACACAAGAGTGTGGGTTTGGGTTCAACATTGTAAACCACTACCCACCCCCAAACACACACAGTAGGGACATGTTCCTACAGTCTATACCCAAATCTATGCCCTTGATAAAACATCTATGTTTTATAAACAAAAATTTGAGCAGTGTATTAATCTCTTGTAATATAAGCCCCATGGTAGATGAATATGTGGCAGCGCTCATCTCTGCAGCAGTCTATCGTGGTTGCAGTCACCAAGATGGTTCACTAGTATCACCTAGTGATTAATATTCACGGAGGGAAAGATAACAGACCGCTACTGTTTCCTTGACCTGGGAACACAACACTAGCGTTCCGCTTTTATTTTTGCACATGCTCACAACAACAACTGTGCACGCAGGCACATACGCTCTGATATGACGTCACTACGTAGCTTATTTAACATGGCTTTGCTACTCGTATTATTGGATACACTCAACAGAATAAAAATGACATTTTAAATGCAAGCATAACAGTACAAGCTAATCTGCCAACACATTCTGTCGCTTGTCAAATTTAATCTGGAGCTCACCATGAGAAGGCAAACGACAGAATTCGGCCAAGTGAGCTGTGTAAACACGGCTGCCCTGTCAAGTCCAGGCCAAAAATATCCTCTTAAAAGTTCAACCCCGGTCCCCAGTTTGAAAAGCGAGACCATTTTTGATGTAGCGTGCAGTCAGCTTGGATGCATTAAACTGTGAATGAGAAAAGGCTGTTTTACAAGCCCCACCATTAAATGGCAAGCTGACAGTCAACTTTTCCTATTTTTTTTTCCCACTGACAGAGTAATCATCTCACATGGGATCAATCATTATATTTAGATCCAGCTTTCAATCCTCCTAACTGCCTACTTGGTGCAGACAGGGCTTCTGAGAACTGAAAGACGCAGTAGGAGCTGATACTCTCAAGCCTTCAGATTACTAAATATGCTTGTGGGAGTTCTACTTACACAAAAATGCTCTGAGGGCAGAGCAAAAAATGACTGGTTCAGAGAGATAACCAATTTTCGGGAGGAAAATTAATCGTTTAGATTTATTGACCAACCAATACAATAGTTAATAGATTAATCAATAGAAAAAATAGTCATTATTGGCAGCCCTACTTGCGAGTGACAACATCCTTGAATCCATCACAGGGAACATGGCAATCACTTTGGGAAAAGCACACACACTATTTCACCTAACCGTGGGTTTTTGGCCTAAGATGAGCTCCATATATAGAGCAGGAAGCAAACCCACAATGAGCTATAAGGCTACATTGCTTTCCCCAGTATAATAATATTTCCACATTTTACTCATACACTCCACCAACAAGCCATGATGTCACTCATTTAAGTCAGATGGGCTCCTTAGTTTAGAGCACTATCCAGTATAGTTAATTTGAATGTAATTAGAGTTAGATTACCCCGTAATGAAAAATCCCACCAATGTATAATCTCAGCTGAGTAGCAGACCCATCCTCTGCACTGAAATCACAGGGAAATCCAATCCATATGATCTATGAATCATGTGGCCAGCTGGGGTGGGGGCCCCTACGAAAGAGCAGACCCCCCCCGAGGCTCGTGCAGACGCGATGGTACCCCTACCTTGCTGGATGGGCGAGTTCCGGATCGAGCCGTTGCTAGCGCTGGACCCATATTTCTCCAGCAGCTCAGCGAATTCTTTCCTTCATCCAAACAAAGAGATGGAGAAACAGATTAATTGTAATTATGTAATTATACTTTAATTACACACTAATTACAATTAGTAATTTGTTCCACCACTGACGATGAGCTTTGGGTTCAACAAATAAATTAATTTATTTTAATTGCACCAGTACAGAATGACAGAAAGAGCTAACAGAACTGTAGGATGAGAAAGGGCATATGAGTCAAATACAGAAACAGAAAAATCCATCCATCCATCCAGCTTCGTATCCAGTATAAGGTTATGGGGAGCTTGTCCTGTGAAGCACAGGGTGGGAGCCATCCAAGATGGCATCCCACCCCATTATACCACTTCCCCCTATCCTAAGTTGCATTGGAAAAATGCATCAGATGAATGGGTTAATATAAGTGAAGAGACACCATTTCACCTACATGCATGTTTCTGTGATGCAGGGGGAACTGGGATTAATGTAGATTCCCTAGGCACAGAGTGTGGTTGGAGCAGGCCCCAGCCCTGGAAATCTCCAAATGATCTATATGGAATCCACACGATCACATACAGCTCTAGTAAATCTAGTAATAGATTTCAGGCTTGTGTGAGAAAAATGCAGAAAAATGCAAACTAAGCCATGAAATTTCATCCCACATAAAGTATTCTAAAGTAAGCTGGATTTGATGTGCTGCAGGTAATTATCATTTACCAGCATTAACTACACTTACTGGTTCTTAGTGAGAATATTTGGATATAATAAATATTATTTGAAGGGGCATATTAATTACCCACAAACTACATCTTAGTTACATGTTCATTCACCATCAATGATTCGTGACACTTTCTTTATCTCAGGCAGTTACTATATTTACCATATCTGTTAATTCTGTAAACCTCTGTGAACTACTAAGGAACTACTGAGGAACTACTGAAGGAACAAGTAATGAATAAAACAAGTGAAATGCTGATCTCATGTTTGTTCATCATTAATGAATCATGACACATTTTTTATCTTAAGTAGCTACTATATTTGCATATGATTTGTACTTCAGTAGTAACTGAGTTATTACTAAGTATTTGTGTACCCCAAAGTAAAGTGTTATGAAAAAAATGAATGAAATAAGGATTACAATGATGTCCCATGCTGCCTGGGATAGAATCCAGGCTGCTCCGAGATCCTGACCAGGACTGGTGGATGGAAAATGAATGGCTGGATGGCTGAATGGATGGATGAATGGAAGGATAGATGGATAGAAGGATGGACTGGAAAAGCAGAACTTTCAATTTGCCAACCCGGGTAATGAATATAACAACCCCCAAAGTTGATAGGATGGGAAGCCCTATGTTAGGGAATGTAGGTCTGTGTCATTAAGCACCTGCCCATTTCCTGTCCCCTGAGGCTTTGAAGGAGTCATCACCTGGCAGTGCAATCTGCTGTACAGTGAGTCCGAGTCATTACCTGGCAGTGCATCTGCTGTACAGTGAGTCCGAGTCATTACCTGGCAGTGCATCTGCTGTACAGTGAGTTCGAGTCATTACCTGGCAGTGCAACTGCTGTACAGTGAGTCCCTGACCTCACTCATTACACCAGCGCAGGATGTAAGCCATGTAACCATACTTAATTAGCAAATAGCTCAGTGGTCAACATACGAAGTCTGTAGACTTAGCATGCTGCCTTAATGCATCAGAATGCATTATTCTTCATTTATTATAAGTGCCACTTTTCATGAAATAAAACAACTACTAACTGAACAACTGTTTCAAAATAGATTCCAAATTGTTTCCATCTGAGTTGTGACCCCCTCCCCCCTTAGGGTGTAGGGCTTGGGACACGGTGGGGGTCAGTGACTTCAAAGACATTGGTAGGAAACGCTAAAGTACAGATACAACTTACCGCCACACTCAACATCAAAAATCAAGCGGGGGGTTTTAATGGGCCAACCGGGAATTTGGTGAAGGTGATGGGAACAAGGAAACAGAAGCAATAGAGCAGCCTCCCCCCACACCAAAGTACTTGGCAGTCCCTGGGTTAAGTACGCCTGACTTACGGACAGCTTGCCATAAAGTCTTTCATATCAAGAACTTAGGTTAAATACAATGGTTTGTAATAACAAATGCAAGCACTTCCTTGTGGCGCATAGCACAGCTCCAGCAGTTCTTCGGCTTGAGGTAGAGTACAGTACCGTATGTAGTTACTTTTAGTATTACTGTATAATTATTATTATTATGTACTATATTATTATTTTTCCAACTTACCTACAAATTTGACTTAAAGATACTTAGGGAATACATTGTGTATTACCTGTATATACATGAATAATAGAGTTCAAAGTAAAAGGGAAGACATGTTTCATTGCAAAGTGATAATGCAAAGTAGCTAATTATGTACAATATTCACCAATTGTTGTCAAAGAACTTCAAAGGATATCAAGGCCTTCTTTAGGATTCCCAGGATGTCACCTGCCACCAATCAAAGATGACCTACCTCGCCTCCTCATCTCTTGCTATGAGCAGTCGCATGTGATTCGTGGAGGATGCAGCTCTGAGAATATCCACGGCACTGTAAGTGGAAACCGATGAACTCTCATTAGTGTGTGGGCATTGCTTTCCAGTTAAGATGTCAGAAATGCAAAATGAAAGATAAATCACACGAAAACAGTCACACCAAATACCTCTCACTTGTAACGCCTATTAAACTTTCCCCATTGACTTCCAAGATCTGATCTCCAGGTTGCAGATTCCCTGCATAGGAACAAAAGCAGCAAAAGTAAGTGGCTGATTTTGTCATCAACATTTTTAAATACCACGCCGTACCCTATTACCATGATTCCAACCAAAGCCTGGAAACAACTTTAATGCTAGAATTCCTGGAAAATTGAGACTCTTCAAGCATCAAAACTGCGCACAGGCCGTAAAGACACATGAAAAAGTGAAACATGAACTAGGCTTAACATACCGACATTAACGTTGATAGGTAGTGATGTCATTATATGCAATTTATGCATGAAACCGAAGAAATGCAACCAATCGATCAGAAAATTGGTTGTCAAATTTGGGCTGCAGCAAGTTCTGAAAGGGTCATGAGGCAGAGTTGGAAATAAAAGTATTTTAAAACCAACAAACTCCTATCCTGATCCGCAATCAGATCCTAGAATTAACCTATATAAACAGGTCTGGGGTCAACAAACGCTCAGCACAAAACTAGTGAACACTCAATCAATCCAAGAAACGAAACCACAGATGCTTAATTTAAAATCCACTGGAACATCCAGTCAGATTTGTGTGATGGACATTGATTGGCGTACATTGCAGAGTGCACCGCTTGCTTGATCATAGCATTAATTTAAACCTATACTTGATATAGGGTCATGACTGAGCTGGCATGGTTGAGAACCACTGTTATACACTTTATCATTCTTTGGTGAAAACCAAACTGTCTTGCCAAAATACTAAATCGGAAAATAAGAATTGTTAGATCTCAACAAGGTTCTCTGAATTAGACACTCCAAAAAATAGGTCAGGTGGGATTTAAGGACAGTTCAAAGTTCTTATCTGATGTGATACTCCATGCTGAAAATGACAACAAGGCCAGCTGGGATCAAGGAATCATTAAAGGGTCTCAAACTGAAATAGACTGACACTCCAATATATAAAAAGACCGAATACGATAGAAGGACCATTAAACATTCTCAACCTGAATTACGCTAACACTCCAAAAGATAAAAGATCAGATGGCATGGAGGAGCTCTCGACAATGTAGAGCTTACAAAGGTCTGTGAAGATGAATGTGCACAAGAGGAATGATGAGTAAAAAAGCCACTTTCTGTCCTTCAAATCATATGCATTAAGATGAAAATGCAACATTGAAGCCTAGTATAAGAGCACAGGAAAGTGTTCAAGAGAGGCCTGGTGCTCGTAGTCACCTGTTTGAGAGAGAGAGTAACTGGATGTGTACACTGCATTTGTGCATTTTATTTCAGTGATATAATTGTAATGCACTGTTGGCTTAATAAACATGCATAACAGTTTTATGAACATTACTGGTCTTATTTCTTTTTCACGTGCATTTTTGCAGTGAATCTCCTTGGCTAGTGAGTGCAGTTTGGGGCTGGCAGCTGGCTAACTGACCATTATTCAATGGGTAGAATTTGCTAGGACCATACAGACAAACATGTAGCACCAAGTCTTACTGTATACATTATAATTTTGACAACAAAAGACCATGGATTTGAGCAGTGATTAAGTGTACTATGACTATATATTAACATGCTATTTGTTTTTTATTGTACTTAAGTATTTAAGTATAACTATTAGAAAAATAGTTAGAAAAACTATTAGAAAAAAAGTATGGCATGCTTGGAACACATTTCTCAGAAATACATACTTCTGTCCTACTTAAGTGATACATAGGTACATAAGACCTTTAAATGTGAAATAAACACAATACTATGAAATAAATACTACTATTGTTTAATATTCTGAAGTATGTCACTCCCGGCTCGTACGATCCTCGTGTGTGCCACGCCCCCCTCGTTACCTCGTGTTCATACCTGATTGTAATCACCTGTTGCTTGTTAAGTTCACCCTGTCTTGTGTATTTAGTCCGCGTCTAAGTCAGTATTCCCCAGATCTGTCATTGTGGTGTGTTGTAATGTTTGTGGATGTCTGCCCTTTACCAACCGAATAAAACCCCGTTTACCTGTCTGTTCGGCTCAACTCGCCTACTTGCCTGCTCGCCTGAGCCATTAACATAACAAAGTACATACTTAATTGTATTTTAGTACAGTGAAAGTGTCCCAAATCACTCACTAACTTAGCATTTAGCATATTTAATTTATATTAAAATTTAAATAGAATATAACTTAAATATATTTAAGTTCTAATAAGTTGTTCCAAAACAGTGTAGGCCTATTTAGCAGGGCTGCCACTAACAACTATTTTTCTATGAATTCATGTATAGGTCAGGTTAACGAACATCGGGGGGGGGGGCTTCAAACATGCGGAGGGGAAACAAGAAGGTGGAACAGGTGAAGCGGGTAGAGACGTGACAATTTCGATAAGTCGTAGTATGTCTAAAATATTAATATAATGTCCAAAAGTTAGTAATCTGGGTAACACATTACTTGAAGCAGTCTACATAAGGGTGACATGTAACCGTCATACGAATGACATGACACATGTCATGCACATTAATGACACATTATTGATGTCATAAACATCACTGTTGTCATAAAGTGTAATTCGGTGCCTAGATGAATCTTGGACAGCTATATGTTTGCAGTTTGTTACACTTGTATGTCACTTTAGACAAAAGAGTCTGCTAACTAAAATAATGTGAATGTAAGGAATTAAACAGAGCAGAAGTTTTATACAGTATATGAAGGCTGAGTCCTCAAGGGTTGGTTTTTGAGGAGTAGGTTCACACAACACATTATGTATAAATACATAAATCAACAAAGAATACATTATACACACCCAGGAAAATATGACCGTTTCTGGTAGTTAAAATAGACACAGCCTAGCTAAGTAAAGAATGAGTCATCAAGCCTGGCAAGCTCTTTACTGGAGCTCCACACGTTTGATGCTGTGATAGGTTATCAAGAATTGTGAGACACAATCTGGTTCATGGTGTAGTTCAGTCCAGCAAAGTGTTTTGTTCTGTGTTTTCAGTTCTAAGTGGTGCCTGCTTCCATTGAACAGTCTCCTCGAATCTACGTCACTATTAACAATAATAAATTAACGTTAATTACTTACCATCGATGGATGCAAGGCCACCAGGTAAAATCCTCTTCACATACACTCCAAATTCCTCTCCAGTGAGCTCTTTCACCCCACCAATGACTTTAATTCCTAGAAAGACCATTTAAGAGCTTGTGGTAAACAAATTGTTGACAACTTAAATGTAAGTTGAACACTAGGAAGTTCTTCATCACATGAATAATAATAATAATAATAAATCAGGTCTTGTTTTGTAGTTCCTGTCCACATCATCAGCATCTTTGACAGCTAACCGGAAAGCGCGTTGATCAGAGTCATAAACAGGGACATCAGGAACAAGTTTTAATGTCCTTAGATCGAAAAGGACGATTTCCTCAGATAACGTCTCATCACTGGTCCTTCAAATCCATTGAGGAATCGTATGTGGTAAATGGGAAATGCAAATATGGATTTATAGTTATGAAAGAATAGGCGCTGCCATTGGTTCTGAGCAGATGAAAGGGTGGGGCATCGTGAGCCCCACCCACACTTAATCTCATTATTCATGATCTGATAACAGTGAACATGCATGCACCAGATGCGGCCTCTTCACAAACAGGAAGTGTACAACAGTGCCTCCTACTGTTGGCTCAGCGTCAGTCTGCATGCATGATGCTGCTCACCTGACAAACAAATACAGAGTTAATACCCAGTTTTATCCTGCTTTTAAAAATGTCTGCTGAAAATTGCTGATGTACCATATTATATTATTTAATCACATTAATATGAATACACAAATTCATATAATGGTTTATCTTCCTGCCACCCAAGAAAAAAGTGTCCTTCGGTTTTAGGTTAATTCTTTGGAGGAAATAAGACATCTTTTTTCAAATTTATTTTTATTTTTAATTTTACAGCATGTCCTCTTTAGTGTACAACAAGAATAAATATGTTTCTTTACATCAGTGAAAAGATATATGCAAAAACAAAATGTCCATTGCAATGGACATAAATGAATGGGTGGGGTCTCAGGAGGATATAATCAGGAGAAACAAAACTGTAAGGAAGCCTTTAAAATATAATATTTTAATTATCATATATCAGTATTATATTTAATAATGATGAAAGTCCTAGAATTGACCTAAGATTGAATATCAAGTCGGTTCTGCATTGTTGCTCCATAGTAAGGTTTCTGTAAGAAGTCAAGGCAGTGACGCCTCTGTCACACTGTAACACTGTTACATTTGATCATTGATGTGTGTGGGACATGTTTCTGCTTTTAGTATCATAAATTAACCCAGTGCTACATCCACGATCAAAGCTATATCTCTGGAAGCATGACAGATACCACGGACTTGGGTGAATAGCCAGAGGATCCTGGTGCAGTGTTCTGACTGAATACACAGCTGGGCAAAACACTCACCACTCCAGGGAAAAAGCCGTTTTCATCAGCGACACAAACCGATATTCTATTCGATGTAATACTTTGACTCTCCTCATCTAGAGGTAAATGACTAATAAATAGCAAACTCATTAGCTTCCAATTTATAATCGGTATCACATTTATTAGTGTTAAATGGTTTCCGGTGAATTGCATTCAAAACATTTGATTTAAAGAAATTAAAATAGAAATGTCAATGAAATTGCCACACAAGGCACTGGGAATTTAGTTGAAAGCCAAGGAGAGTTAATCTGTGAAACAAATTAAAATTTTCACTGAGTTAACTGGCATGTTACTTTATTGAGTTTTTGGCACCAGTTATTGATAACAGGTGCCGATCCATGGTTACTATAAATATTGGATGTATAGAAGGCACACTTTTGTCATTTCTGAATATCAGTGGGCAGGAAATGGAAACAAAAAAATCTGCTCGGGTCAGCAAACAAAAAAGTCTGTCTGTAGCTGCGCTGGCCAAGACCATCAGGTCCTAGTGAAAGCCGAACAAGGCTGGCAAAGGTGAGATGTCAAGAATCAAAGAACAAGTTTATCTGAGTCACGAGTCTGGAAGGCTGGTGATTAACTGGGAAATACGAGCTCAGCTGAATGCCAATGGGAGTGTAGATGTTTCAGCACCAGCTGCTCGGGAGATTGTATCAATCACAGAATACTTCAAAGACACGCAGATCCATCAGGGATCGGGCTGTCCTTCATTCTTTAGCAGTATAGTGGTCCAAAACATGCCTCAACATTGTGCAAGAACTATTTGCTACAGAGGAAAGAAATATTGAAAGCTAGCTCACACTAATGGCCTGGCTGCCCAGCCTCCAGGCCCGAATCCCAAAGCACAGCCTCTATTTCAATTCTGCCTTTCAGAACTATGGTTTGTTGAGTCTTCATATGTAGCTTGAGATGCCTGCTTATCACCAGTTTGAAGGTACAGTATCACTCTGGTACCCTCCCCTCAGCACCAGCAACATGGCTGATATTTTATCGCCTAAAGATAAATGCCGATGACGGGTAGACAGCAGGCGATCAAGAGAATCAGCAAACGGCCAGCAAACCGGCATGAAGAGAGCCCGGGTCGGCATATCAAAGTCCCCTAACAGAGCTGTATCCTCCAACCACATTCTGCTGGGAGTGTCCCTCTCGTCGCCCCTTGTTCAGCAGTGAGGCTGACCCTGGGGGAGAGCCTCCCATCGCTTTGCATTTGTTTTTCAGTTTATTTCCAGCACAGCTGTCTCCTGTCCCTCCCTCCCCCCTTCTTTAATCTCAGCCCCTCAACCTCCCGTTCCCTCCCCAGCCTCGCCTCCGCCTCTCCGCCGGTGTCACTGGCTACAAAGTAAGTTCAGCCCTGACCTAGAACTCCCATGTGCACTGCCATTGCCTGGTTTAATATCGCAAGTCCTGTCACCCTCTCTTTCTGCCGTTTCCTGCGATGTATGCTACATCAGACCCTGTGTACGGCTTAAATCTGTACTCTGGATTTGACTTTAGTCGTCCTGTTTTTTTTGGTCAGACGCATTTGAGTCCAGCCATCACACTTCATGATTACAAGCAGAGCTGAAACGTGCAGAATAAGATCGCAGTAAATGTAAAGGTAGATGATCTTAAAGCCATAAAACACTGCCTGGTGTCCCCCACGAGGTGACACTGTATGATCTGAGCAGGTACAGCAATGTTGTGGAGTAAAGAATAACACTGGATGTCAGCACAATTATCAATTACCTATCTGACCGTTCGTTAAAACACTTATGAGATCCCTGCTTTAGCTGAGAGTCTACCAACCAAATTTCCTGTCAGGTCAGAATATGGTTGCGTTTCTATCTTAAGCCATATGAGGGGGCTACATATTTGAGGGAAATGCTGAACTCATTCACGCTGGCTGAAAACACTTCTACCACACCACTATCGATTTCAAATATTGAAAAAGTTCTGATGTAGAACAAGACAACAGGCTTACCCAATCCATCCTCGCAATCCAAAAACTCCATGAGGTGGACGGTCCGGTCTATTCCGTACGGACCCATGAGTGTCCTTTGTCCCACGGCAGCGGTAGAAGTGAGGAAAAAATGTATCAGTAAGCTTTTAACGGCCATTAGCAGGACATACAATGACAATTATCTGCCTTGATACCAGAAAAGGGAGTTTAATCTGCAACTCCTTAACTTAGCAGTAAATAACATATTCATTTTACAGTTTACTTACTTTATGTAGTTTTGGAACTCAGGACAACAGATTACAGTATGTTGTTTAAGAATTCAACACATTTTACCTTTGGCCATTCATGAGTATTTTAGGACATCTCTCTAAATTGTTTCTTAGAATTAGGTTACTTTTTAGTTATATTTGTCCTTGATTTTGCACATTACATCAATACAACAGCGAGAACCCCGTACTGTAGCACACTTTAAGATGTGTTTGGAGGAAGAATGAGACAAAACAACACGCTTCATCGCTTGGTATCCTTAGTGTCAAAACGTCCGTTAAGCGTTGTGAGTCACAACGGCATAGTGGTAAATGCTTTACTGTTCCAACTGTTTTTGGAAGGAATAGATGTGTATTAACAAATTGAATGACAAGACAAAACAAGAAAAATTTTGGGTTCATACTGTCTGCAGTGAAATAAAAGTAAATTTCAGAATCACTGGTTTTCACTTGGGGTGACATGGTGGTGCGGTGGTTAGCACTGTTGTCTCACAGCTCTGGGACCTGGGTTCAAGTCCCCGCCAGGGTTACATGTGTGTGGAGTTTGCATGTTCTCCCCATGTTGTTGTGGGTTTTTCTCCGGGTACCCCAGTTTCCCCCCACAGTCCAAAGACATGCTGAGGCTAATTGGAGTTACTAAATTGCACATAGGTGTGTATGTGTGAGTGAATGGTGTGTGAGTGTGCCCTGCGATAGGCTCTGGACCCCCTGCAACCCAGTAGGATAAGCAGGTTGGGAAGTGGATGGATGGATGGTTTTCATTTCCCATACTATCCCAGCTTCACCTGATTTAATCTCATACTGCAGCTGGTCCCTTTTTCTAACCGTGTGTGAGAAAGGCCCCCAATCCCCCTCTGCCCCAAGGACTATCTGACCCTGCTTTATCAAAACATGTTTGTGGTTTTGAATTAAAGCATCACTAAATATCTGTAATATGATGAGATAGTCATGTGACATAGTCAACAGCACAGAAATGTAATTGGCACATGAGGCGAACACTGCAGAGAGTGTGTAAGACGAATACGAGCGCAGTCTCTGTCACTGGGTGTCACTGTCTGCAGTGTCACCCCCAAGTTTATCCTGTACACAACACTCATCTTATTATTTACTTTAAATGCCATTTATTAATACTGTATCCACTGTTAACTATTAAAGGAAATATTTTGGATTCTGCCTTTCAGAACTATGGTTTGTTGAGTCTTCATATGTAGCTTGAGATGCCTGCTTATCACCAGTTTGAAGGTAAACCAGTGGTAAAGATTTTTTTTAAAGAAAGCATGACAAGAACATTCAAAATAATTGTCACATAACCAATGACTACACCCAAGAAAACTGCATCAATAATAATCAATAATAATCAACAAACACTTCAAGGTGGTATAAGTAACATTAGACCACACACACATGAGCTATTTTATACTATACTACGCACCTTCCTGTACAGAAGTGCTGAGTGCTGAGTTTCCAGCACTCAATGCACTAATTCCTATAGCACCTTCATTACCTGCTGATGACGACCGCTCCTTTATACATGACTGAAATCGTCGACATCTTTTAAGTAGCTTTTTCTATCTGTTTCATGCAGCAACCTGCCCATCTTCCGCGTCACACGGGGCTCCACGTCTGTGGAAACGCACGATGCCTCCAGCGCTCTTAAAATCCCCACGCCTTTACCAGAGCGTTGGACGACACGGCCAACTTCCAGGGCAGATTAAGTTTTATGTAACGCGCAAACAAAACCAGCAGCATCATTTTCTCTATTCCCCAAATCCACATTCTGTCTGCTAAAAAAAACAAAAAAACGTTGAAATCATAACCGGGGAGTGAATTAATTTTTAATCTCATAATATTTCATAGTGGTATTAGGATGTCAATTTCAGTGATTTGTTCCCTTTTGCAAGAGGATTACAAAGTAATGTCCTGAAAATAACATACTAATTTGTAATTATAGCAAGCATAACCTTACAAGCAGATTAAATTAGATTTAATACCTAAGTTTAAGATGTCTAAATTAATGACCAGAGACAATTTTAGATTTTTGCAAGAAGTTTTTGCATTACTATGGAAGCCCGTTTCCGCCACATAACATAAAAAAATAATTCAGATTCTAAATTGAAATTATGAGATACTAAGTCATAATTATGAGATACTAAGTCGACATTATGAGAAACTAAGTCGAAATTATGAGATACTAAGTCGAAATTATGAGATAGTAAGTCATAATTATGAGATACTAAATCGAAATTATGAGATACTGGTGCGCCTGCGCATACTGTTGCTTGACGTATGGATAACTAACGTTCTTACGTTTGGAGAATTCCATCCCTCTGTCCCCAAGCAGCATGCACGCGGTATCAAGCCTCATATTCGATATTCAGTTTTCTAGCTTTAATAACTTTTCACGGAAGTAAGATGGGACGTTTTTAATGAAATATAAATTAATAAATAAAAAATCTATAAAAAAAAAAAATCCGCAAAAAATTGCTTTTGCCCATGTAATAAAGACAGCATTTCTTTATATATACTGTATTATATGTATTGTGATGACCTGGTAGACCTAGGTATCAAATGACAGCGATAGCAAATGACGGCTTGTTAGGAAACAACAATGAACAACGCCCTTTTATTGCAGTCTTTCACAGAACTAACATAGGTACCATACTGTATGAGCACCAAACCCAACAAAATAGCAGAAACACAAGAAGGTCAGATGTTGAACCGTAAGGTACACACATGGTTGGAGATTTATACAAAGCTAAGGACACACGAGGATCGGACAGGGAGCACATAAGACACAGGCAAACATACAAGCCGCAATCAGGAAATACAAATATAAACTATAACAATGTAACAGCAATAATACAATGGCTATTTACATTACTTGCGGTGCATGCTGGGACATGCACACTCTGCCGGGGCTACACTGCTCCCTCTGCAGAGGTTGACCGTGGATCTGGTATCCCTTCCAGGGCCACTTCCAACGACTCCCACAGCCAGGCCCCCTTCTCCAGGGATAGCCAGTGCACAGAGCAGCTGGGGACCTTCCTCCTGGCTCCAGCCCTTCATTCTACCCTGCTTAGTGGGGCCCTGATGTTGTGCAGCAGGCTGGTCCTGCCGCGGGGCCTCCTGCTCGCATTGTTAGGCAGCCCTGGGGTGAGTTTCCCGAAGCGTTCTTAACGCTACGTCGTTCATAAGTTCTGTGTTAAAAGATAGAACTAACGAACAACGTAGCGTTAAGAAGGCTTCGGGAAACTCACCCCTGGACAGTTGTTGCTGCACTGTGACATGGGTAGCCTCTCACGGGAGTGCCAAGCGGGCCTCCTCCCACCGCTCGTGAAGGTCCTTCGTGAGCTGGGCCTCCACAGTGAGGCATGCCTGCTCACGGCCCCGTATTGCAGCCTCTACCTCCTGCTTCTGGGGCAGCTAGGTTTCTAAACCGTGATACACCTCATCCCAACCTAGCAGCGCCGTCTCATGGCCCCGGAATGCCACCGCTGCAGTCTCAGCCAGACACACCTGGTGGTTGTGCTTCTGCTTCCAGCTGGCCAGCTCGCCACGCAGCTGCTCCAGCTCCTGCCGCTCCTGCTCTGCAGACTCCCCTAGGCTACTCCCAGTCCTGATAGTCCTGCTCCCGCCACTCATACAGCTCACAGCACTCTTGAGCTAGCCAGGTCTCCCAGGTGCAGCACTCCTTCTCACACTTGAACAGAGATGTCTGCTGCCTCTGCTGCTCATGCTCGTGGCTGGGATCATGAAGAGCACTCCACGACCGGTGAGCAGTTGGGGTCCATCAAGGTGCTTGTCTTTCTCATTCACCGGCATTGTCTGCGAAGATAGTCCGGAGGGCTGGCAGGAGCAGCTTCAGCTTCAGAGCACGTTGCGACTCGGATGGAGTGGAGGGTGCCTTCCTCACGCCTGCATCCCTTGCTTGTTTGCCGGCAGCTCTGGTGCAGGCTTCCGGACAGTGGCGTGACTGGTGCCCTTCTTTCCTGCAGCACCAGCAGGCAAGCTTCACGTCCCTTGTTGGCCACCTCACGTGCCACCACTTCTCAGGTGCCTGGGAGTCCACCAAGCCAGAGCAGGCTTGCCGTGCCAGTGGAATCGCTTCCGGCATCCCACATCTAACACCAATGTGATGATTGGGAGGCCGAGGCATCGCGGCAGGAACAGCAAATGACGAGATGACTTGTTAGGAGAGAACAACGTCCTTTTATTGCAGTTCTTAACAGGACTAACATAGGCACCATATGAGCAAGGCATGGGCATAAATTATGGGGGGGTGGGGGGGTTGTAGCCCCCCCAATAAATCAAAACCAGCTAATACAACCCCCCCAATAATCATGTTTCCCCCGTAATGGGTGGAGACCTCAACTTCCCCAATGTTCCAGCCAAAGTTACGCCCTTGGAGCAAGGAACCCAACACAATATCAGAAACACAAGTCAGACGCCGAGCTGTAAGGTGCACACACAGTGGGAGATTTATACAAAGCTAAGGAAACACGAGGATCGGACAGGGTGCACATAAGACGGTCAAACATACAAGTCAAAATCAGGAAATACAAATATTAACAATACGACAACAACACAAGGGTTATTTACATTACTTGCCGGGCATGCTGGGATATGCACACCCCACCGGCACTACTATATATATATGTGTGTGTGTGTGTGTGTGTCTATATATATATGGTCAGCCGATCTCTGAGTTCCAGTTCACGGCCTTGCTCAAGGGCCGGACCACTGTGCCAACCAGGGGTCGAACAGTGACCTTCCAATCACAGATCACAGTATCCTATCCCACGGAACCACACGCCGCCCCATGAATGTACACAGTGGAAAAAAATCTGCTGATACCACCTTGTCCTATTTCCATTTTAGTTAAATAGCATTGCACAGCAAGGCACAGGTGTCATCAATTAACGTAGCTTAACTGAAGAGCGCTGTGCGTGTCCATGACCTCGAAGTGCAGCGGGTGCACTGCTGCTCCAGGGTTAGGGTTAGGGTTAGGGTTAGGTTTAGGGTCAGGCACTGAACATGCCAGATCACATCCTCCACTCACATGTGGCACATAAGCAGACCAGCTTATGGAGCAGCTGGCTGCTGGGACATGAAGATCGCATACAATTACTGCAGATATAAAATTCTGTGGATAATTAAAAAAAAAACGTTAGTTGTTATTTTTATAGCCTATTACCTTTATTAGCTAAAACCAACTGACTGTCCATACTTTTATACCCAGATGCACGATGATGAAACGAGTTCCGTTGATAAACCTCTGTGCTTAAAAAAGGTGCTGTATGAGAAAATAGCTCTGGAATGACTGCTTTGGTCAGGTTAGCCAGTTTAGCCTAGTGTGACCTACTGAATTTATCCCATTTTTTATATTATTGTTGTTTTTTAAATGCAAAGGTGTCTATGTGTGTTTTCCGTTAGTTTCATGGTGGAAGGAAAACAGAAGAAAGAAGCAGAAGTGTGGTAGAAACGGATGAAATGACACCTGCACACCCAGCAGCGGGAGGAATTCCTCTGCCTGTCAACCATGGCAACCACATCTGCATGAGCACTTTAATCGCTCGATCTGCACAGTCGGTAGTTATAAGATTAAAGGATAATCCTGCCCATGATCACTACAGCAATTGCATTGCAAGTAGGATTCTGGGCTTCAGACATATTCCGCTGGATCTTCTCCCAAAAAGAACTGCACCCCCCCCCCCACAATAGCAAGATCCAAAGAAATGGGAGCAGACTCTGGTGTAATAATGGTGTAACTACTGTTTACCCTATAGATACTACCGCTTGGTAACATTATTAGAAATCATGGTGTTGGGTTTCATTGTTATGCAGATGATACACAGTTATATATATCTGTTAACCCTGATGATACATCACTCCTATCTCATTTAGAAGATTGTCTGTTAGATATCCGGTGCTGGATGGCAAAAAAATTCCTAATGTTAAACACAGAAAAAACAGAAAAAACAGAAGTACTGGTGATTGGTCCCAAGGCTGCAAGAAATAAGTTTCACCACCTCAGCATTAGTGGTCTTCCTACACAACCTAACACAGTGGTTAGAAATCTTGTTCTTCTAGTTGATTCAGATCTTTGTTTTGATGCTCACATAAGAAGTATTACTAGAACTGCGTTTTTTCATCTACGGAACATAGCCAAGCTTCGTAAGATGCTCTCACTTCGTGATGCAGAAAAATTAATACATGCCTTTGTAACTTCCAGACTGGACTACTGTAATGCCCTCCTGTCTGGTTGCCCGTCTGGATCCTTACATAAACTTCAGCTGGTACAGAATGCAGCAACCAGAGTTCTCACAAACACTAAAAAATTTGATCGCATTACACCTGTCTTATCCTCCCTTCATTGGTTACCAGTTAAGTCTCGGATTGACTATAAAATACTGCTATTAACTTATAAAGCACTGAATGGCCTTGCACCAGAATACCTTAGTGATCTGCTGACCTCATACAACCCCCCGCGCTTGCTTCGTTCTCAAGGTGCGGGATATCTGTTAGTACCTAGGGTAGAAAGAGCTATGGCAGGCTGCAGAGCTTTCTCCTATAGAGCTCCCCAGCTGTTGAATGGTCTTCCACCGGATGTGGGGATTTCAGGCTCACTCTCAATATTCAAGTCTTGAGTAAAAACACACCTATTTAGTTTAGCTTATAGGGACACTAGTTCTAGCTCTAGCTAACTTCTCACTCCCAGTTAAACCTATAGTGTGAGGTGTTGAGCTGGGTGGGGATCGGTGCCATTGGCTTTGGATAAACTGAATTGACAGCGCTGTCACTCTAGCTTCACAATCGCTTGTGGGATTGGAGTGCTGACATTTCAGGGACTCCCCATGCCTGCATTCCCACCTGCCTCTCCCTCCTACTTATGCTGCCATAGCCATATCTGCCGGAGCTTGCACATTGCACTTCATATTGCACTCATCTAACTGTTAGCACTGCCTATAGTCTCCCTTACTTTGACTAATTGCATTTATTTCCCCTACTTCTCCTGGGGGGAGCTGCCTGGAGCCCTCACACTATCAAGATGTCCAGCACACCCTGCTACATGTGACGTCGCCTCTACCAATGACGTCCCTGCATCCAGCTCGCCATTCTGCCCGTGTCATCTTCCATGTATGACCCGCTCCCTGCCTTCTGGCTGCCTGGTTATTGGAGGGAGCGTTGGCACCGGCTGTCATCTCCCCCCTGCTCCCCGTTTGTGTTTCAGATTTAACTGTATTTGACTCTCCCTGCCGGCCCCTGGAGGATGGGCTCCCCCTTTGAGTCTGGTCCCTCCCAAAGTTTCTTCCTTCTGGGGAGTTTTTCCTTGCCACTGTCGCCTATGGCTTACTCACTGGGGGCTTTGGGTGGGGGTGCTGTAAAGCGCTTTGAGACGATGTAATGTTGTGATAATTTATAAAAATAAATTTGTTGTTGTTGTTGTAATAATGTGCTACCCTCATGCTTGTGAGGGTCGTGCCCCCACACTAATTTCAGATGCACCCTTAGTGAGTTTGTTCTGGACCTGGCACTGTATGGGAGGAAACTGAAGTGTGTTCTTCTCCACCAGAGATGGGGGCACCTGAGTGCAGGTGCCTGTCTGCCCTCTATAGGCACCGGGGAGGATGGCAGCCAGACAGAAACCAAGATCGGCCTTGTAGCCTCTGAGAAGCATGCCATGTCGACGCCTCCCTTAAAACAAATAGCATGACACAGTTCAGGAAGATCTAATGAGGCATGTGCTGCTGAAGGGGAGGGTGTGGCACCATGGGGAGGAGGTCCCTCCTGCCCATGTCCACCCTAGTCCTACGTGCTGCATGCATGCCTAAGAGAATGTCTGTCCTTCCAGTTTAACCAAATGCATTCTCTAAGTACTGCTTGCATTTCCATAACTTTGCACATTTCACTTTACAGTTATTCACTGACAGATTCCTTAAAGCAGGTGATGTGTTGCTGCGACTTCACTTTCTATTTACTTCCTGATAATTAGCAGCCGTCATAAGGCTGCAGTTCATTCGTCTCCGTTATCTTATCTCAGACAGACACCTATCGACGCGGTCGACGCAGACGTCGTTCAAACGAGAGCACCGAACAAGAGCCAGCTGGCCTGTCGCTTAGGAAAATGCCGGCGTTTCCTTTCGTTAGGAGAGTCAGCAGCTTGTGCTGGTACTGCAGACTGCAGGGGTAAAAATAAATAAATCAAAAGTGATGATCTCAATCAGACGATCAATGCAAGTCAACAAAAGGAAGGTCACCATGGCGATGAGGAGGGGTCATGCACAGCCCTGTGCTTCAGCCACACTTTTGACATTTGTTTGCGTCATGGGTTAAATGCAGTCTCCTTATAGATCCAACAATTAAAAAGTATCTGCTAATTCCAGCAGCACCAAACCCCTTCCATGTGGTCCCCCCAGTTCCCCAGTTGTCCCCCAAGATGGGAGACCTGGTTGGAGGACAGAAAGGAATGCACTAAAATAAACAAACCAAACTAATTCCGATATCCACGTGCTTCCACCTTCAAATGAAAATATCAGCTAGAAGAACCATTAATGTGGAGGAGTCCAGGGCAGGATCAGCTCATCCTGGGAATGCCATGAGCCACAGCAAAATCTCAGCATGCTACACGCTTCCGGAATGTG